AACAAGAATGAAAGAAAAATGACAGAGGATGCTTGTAAAAACCTTTCAAAAACATACCAAAATTATATATAACTCCATGTGTGTGTGTTGTGTGTGTGTGTAGCTTACAATTGGATAGACAATGTTCCTCTCAATGAACAATAGACCATTTAACAGGAATACTTTAGGACCAAGCTTGAGAAACCTCAATTTAAGTTGTTGGTCAAGTTGAAGATCATGAGAGTTTCAAAATAAATAGGCTGTTCCTGTGCCCTTAGCTGGTTATTGTATTCTACTGCTGAAGACACCATGTGATTGGACACAGGACTTGGAGGATTTGAGCTGGATCTGACCGGAGGGAGTAAGGGGTAGTATGACATGAGAGGAGTTATAGAGAGGGAAAGGAGGAGTGTGATCTGGGACAAGTTATAGGAGGGGTATAACATAGGAGGACCCAGGAAGGGTTGGAGGGAAGAAAGGGATGGAAAAAAATGATGTACTCATATTTCAGTAAAAATATAATATTCATCTTTTAAAAAACAGAAGGGAAATCTGGATTTTTATGAGTTGCCTTTTGTGTGACTTCACCTGGAGATACAAGGACAAACATCTGTGCACATAGCAAAGGCAACAGAGAAAATAAAAGATTTCATCCATGTTCAATGTGATGAGCCAGAGAGGCTTCTGGGATGACTTAGAGGAACATGTGTCACTCGAAACCCCAAGTGTGGTGATGAGTCTGCATCCATGCACCGCCCTGGTCAGTGTGTCTGCAGATCCATTGCAGTCTCCTCTCCCTAGCAATTGCTTCTTTCATCCTGAGGAGGGGCCCTGTAGCTTTCTAGGCTTCCTGAACCTTGTAAGTACTGAGACTCCTAAATTTCCTTTGTTTCTGAAGTCTTAGGAGTTTCCCTTCCCCCACTCTCCTGAAGGGGATGCTTCTATTAACTCTATTAATTATTAGGAGGAAATAGTTACAGGGCAGATCTTTCTTAATTCAAGAGATAATATAAAAGCAAGGGAAAAGATGAAAGTGAAGGAAGATGCTGGGAAGAGAGGGAGAGAGCAGAGAGAAAGAGAGAAGGAGCAGAGGAAAAAAGAAGGGCCAGGAGGAGGGAGGAAGGGAGATATAGGCTCTATGGAAGGAATTAATTCTATCCTGGGGCTGTATTTTGTAGGGACATTGATGTGTCTATTTTCTTCAGCTTTCTTGAGACATTGCCCTGAATTCTAAGCTAACCTGAAGCTCAAAACCTTCTGCCTCACTCTCCCAAGAGATCAGCGTGACGATAAAACAACATACTTGCACTTCAATGTCTGTCGGTCTGATGTAGTAGAAACTGCGGCTTCTATAATTTGGTGAGGAAAGGAGGAGAAGGGAATGAGCATTTCAGAGCTTGGATGCTAAAATGGCTCCATTAGCAGTTCTATTTGAGACCAGCATTGAGTGCTTATCTACTAAGTGACTTGGGGCTAGCATTTGTTAGCTGATCAATCTTGTCTGTTGCTCTTTAGTCTTAAGTTGATGGATAATTTGACCTCTATTCACAAAACTGATGAGAGGAATCACATTTTAGTACTAAACTGGCACAGCAAGTGGGAAATGGAAATAACACAATGTTGTGAACTCTTTTTATTGAAGTATTTTAACTTTTAGATGATAAACCTCAAGCCATTCCTATTTAACAACTCCACTTGACACACTCGTTTCTTGGATCCAGAGACACAGCACAGAGGACAGGCTGTTCTCTCAGCTTTATGAGACTTACCAGCTTTTCATAGCAAATGTTCAAACTTTAATAGTTTAAATGTGGATTATAGACACACACAGTTTAATAACTAAGACACCATAATTTCTTTACTTCCCCAAACAACACTTTTTAATGTTTTCATTAATAGTTCAATTTGTGGATGAAAATATCCTATTACTATGGCATTGGGCAGATCTTTGATAATGTCCATTTTATAGGGAAACAGTATCAGCTGACTTTTTTTATGTACAAGACCATGCCCTCTATCCTGTGCAGAGAACAAAAAATAATTTATCTTCTCCTTCCTGCCTTCCTAGGCTTCAGAATATCCATGGAGAAATGAGATATTAATACAAGGCATGACTAACTATACCAAGTGGAATGTGAAAATTACACTTCAAAGGACAAAGATGACCTCCCGTTGAACAGTTTCAAAAAAATAAAGACCATGATTCAAAAGCTTTAGAGGTCTTCAAGGAGAAAATGACATTCAAATGGGGGATTGCAGGAAAGAGGACATTTTCAAAGGGTGAGGAGGAGTAAAGAAGTAGAGAAAAGGCACAGCAAACACAAATGCAAGAATGGGAAGAAAGAAGCAGCTGTAGTATTGCACATGGTGGTGTGCTCCAGTGACAAACAACAGAAGAGAACCCAGAGAAATGGTGTCAGTATGCAGACTGGAGTTAGATAAGTATTTGACACACTCATATGAACAATCAGTCAGAGAAATAAGTTAGATTTATCCTTAGAGTTACAGGACAGTGGGCCAGGATAGACAACTAGAGGTCAAGTTCTCTGCAAATGGTATTTTGACTGGCCATTTGATGGGGAATCTTCCAGTGTGAACTTGACTATGTCTATATAATCAAGCTCAACACCTACCAAAATTTAGGGAAAAGAAAACAAAAACCCCCAAATCCTCCTTTGACTGTTAAAAAAAATTGTAAAGTTTTTCATCTAAAACTTTGTGACCCAACTAGACTTTGTCTCTCATGTCTGCAGTCGGTAGCCTCATTTAAGAGAGTGTATGTCATTATATTATATAACCTATGTAAAGAAGCAGGGCTCTTAAATGGTACAGCTTGAGAGACCCAGAGAAATCATATGCTCAGTTGTCCCAATGAGTTAATTGGGAACCCAGAAAAATTACATGGTTAGCTTATAGTAACCACCTGCTTCTGAGAAAGATAAATTTAAATATAATCATCACTAACATAATCTATTGCTTTATTTACATGCTGTGATGCCTAGTTATTCTTCCTAAACTTTACATAGGTATATAGTCACATGATACATTTTGTTTTAAATCAGCATTTTTCCAACTAGTTCATACATCTCCCCTCTCTTTCTCCAACCCTGAAATACCATTTCATTGAACACTTAGCAGGTCTCATACTAAATGTCTTTAAAATCTATGTACTCATCTGCAAACCTATGAGTACATACATATGAAGTGCTTGGTTATCTTTTGCAAATGAATAAATACATATTCACTTTTCTGCGCCTTAATTTGTGAATTTAACCATATTTGAGAAAATTCTTGCCAAGGGAGAAGCTGAAACCCTGCTATGCCTTTATTTTCGTGGTTCTGTTATATATTCTTTATGGTAGATTATGTCCCAATACTCCCTCCTCCTTCTCGTAGTCTTTTTTTTTCCCTAGGTTTTGCTCCCACAAATAGCACTTGAATAAACATGCCATTTACCGTTTATTGCTCCATTGATAGAGCTTGCTTCATAGGATCAGGGATGTGCTTTAACAACAAAATTACTTCCCTCGGAAAACTAGAGTGATGTGCCTTTGGGCCTGCAACCATTAAGATTCTCTCTGCACATCTGACTTCGCAAGTGCAATTGGTGTAGACTCAAATCTCATTGTGCATTCTCTGATGACAAATGAACTTGCCCTTCATATCTTAAGCTCATTGGTTTCCTGTTAACTTTGCTTTCTCATTCTTTTACCCACTTTCCCAACAGATTATTTAGTTTCTTTTAAATTGTTAAGGGCTTTTGGTATAATATAGAAATTTTCAAATGATTTTCAATTTTTGCAAATGTTTTCTTCTCAAATTGGTAATCTAAAACATATTTTATGGAACATTTTGTTACACAAAAGTCTTTAATTTCACCTAGCTATCTATTGTTTTTTCTTTTTTCTTTTTTGTTTTGTTTTGTTTTTTTGGAGACAGCGTTTCTCTGTGTAGCCCTGGCTGTCCTGGAACTCACTCTGTAGACCAGGCTGGCCTCGAACTCAGAAATTCACCTGCCTCTGCCTCCCAAGTGCTGGGATTAAAGGCATGTCCCACCACTGCCTGGCCTATTGTTTTTTCTTAATTTATGTTTTATCATAGACACATATTATTGCTTCCCCTAAACACTGATGGTTACTAGATTTTACTTTTTACATGACCTTTATGTCTTACACGTAAATATTTTAGTTTATATAAGTATATCTAGGATTTTTTTATCTGAAATATGATTAAAAACAAACCCTCCTTTTCTTTCCTTCTAGATAATTTATTCACTGTTTCTATCAGATTTTTTTTTAGCAGACTTGAAATGCCTCTCTTATAAAGACTAAAATCCCACTTAAATCCAGCCCCATTTGTGGATACTTTGTTGCAAAATTATTGATCTCCTAGGGGCCTACTCAGTGTGTCACAGACTTAGTTCCAGTAGCACTGTAGGATTTTATGATTCTGACCAATCAGATTACAATTATGACTTCTGAAATCGTTTTGGAAGGTAGTCATATTAAAGACTTATTTAATAAACAGCACTGGAATGTAAGCAGAAACTAAACTGTTAAAATAATATTAGCACAGCTAGAATAATTTTTGAAGTCTTTCTACCTCAAGTAGATTTTTATATCAACAGATAGGAGACATTTAGTTGTTGTTGTTCGTTTCTTGTGCATGCCATTTTGTTGCCATATGTTTATTTGTTTTTCAGTCCTGAGAATTGAACCGATGTCATCTGCACATACTAGAAGCTGCTCTGCTACTGAGTTACACCCCTAACCTTTATCTTACCTTTTAAGATAGAGTCTCACTGCCTTGCCCAGGCCAACCTTCCACTTGTACTCTAGTCCAGGCAGGCCTTGAACTTGGGACTCTCCTGTATTTGTCCTCTGAGGTCTGGAAATACCAGCCTGTACCATCAATCTAGTTTCAAGTAGAAAATGAGCTTATGTGATCTTATAAAAGTGGCAGTTCTGTACTTTTCCCCAAAAGGTAAATGTATTAATGGTACTACTTTCTGCATTCCACAGGCCAGATCTTCAGAGGACTCATGCCTACGTCTTCCCCCTGAGCTCCGACTACTTCTCAGTAGAAAGAAAGCATACTGGGAACAGACACTGGAGTGCTCTTGAAGAAAGGTCCCATGGGGACTGTACCTGACCCTCTGAGGGTGACTAAAGCTTCAATAGTGGCAGCTTCTGAGAAGGAAGGATCTCGAGGGGAGCTACAGAGTGTCTCGCCACAACCACCTCAGCCAGATAAGAATGCTAGTGGCATTGGCAATGCTCCTGAAGAACTCGGCCTCAGGCTCAGTACAGCTGCTCAGGCTCTGATGCAAGCTTGTGTGTATGAGTCCAGCCAGCAAGACATGGCATCTCCTGATGTCTTCAATAAGGCAGAGCAAGTGTCTCCCAAACAGAAAACTCCAGATGACTCCCAGTTTCAAGGAAGCAAGGAGCTGGCAGCACCAGGTCCAAATGCTACCGCAGAAAAGGAACTTATAACCGCACCATTTTTAGTGTCTGCAGTCCAGCACACTCACCATGCCATCCAAAGCGACCCTCCAAATGCTAGCACCTGTCCAGTACCTGAAGATTCCTTGGTGAAATCAGAGGCAAACTCAAACAGTGAGAAACCTGGAAAGTCAAGTTGTTCTACCAGGGTCACTTGTTGCAGCAGCAAAAATGAAGTGCTCTGCGATTTTCCTTCTCCAGAAACCAGCCAGGGAATTGTACAGACTCCTGATACAGCAATGAGGATTCACTCATCCCCTTCTGCAGATGGATCTGAGGGGGAAGGGCAGAAAGCCATCAGTAACACCACAGTGGCATCCAGTGAACCTCCAGCAAAAGGGGGATGCTCAGAGAACAAACAGCCCTCTGCCACTGCATTGGACACTACAGCTGAAAGGTCGGAAAAGACTCCACTACCCCCCCTTACCAGCAGAGTGGCCACATGTTCTTCAGAAGAAAGGCAGGCACAGCTCCCAGCACAGCATCCAGTGTCAAGGTTCAAAGAAGCCAGTACAATGACCTGCCAAGCTGAAAGTGAGGCCAAGGAGGTCCCTGGCAGGGCTTGGCAAGATGCTGAGGTGCAGGCAGTGGCAAGTGTGGAGAGCAGGTCTGTCTCTACCAGCCCCAGTATCCTCCCCGAATTCTTAAAAGAAAATCCTGCTCCCAAGCAGAATGGTCAAGAGCATCTGAGTGTCATTTGCTATGGCAAGGGCAGTGGGAGCCACTTGTTGGAACTCTCTAACAACATGGTAGATCCCCAGGAGTCAAGGCAGTACCCCAGCATTGTACCACAGGTGCATATCCAGGCAGCTGTTGCCATGCCTGCAGCTTTCAAAGGGGGATGCAAACCAGCGAACCAACCAGCTGAAGGCCTTAGATCCCCACTGAGCCATGTGGCCTCCAGTCGAAACCCGGATACAGAGGAAGAGCCACGGCCTTCAACAAGCAAAGAGGCAACCTCCAGACAGCTTGCAGGTACTAATCCTGACTCCCAGAAAGCTAGCCCCACTGGCCAGATTTCCCTCCTGCCAGGGAATCAAGCTGAGATAAGTCAGGGGTTGGGGAACTCTGGACCCAGGGAACCTGAATTTGTAGGGAAAACTACAAATGACCACAAAGCAGAGCCAGGCTGCAAACCATCCAATTCCCGTGGAAGTGCCAACAGAGAGCACCCCCCGGAGAGCTTGGACCCCACTGATAAAAGAGGTCCAAAGGACAAGAAGCCTGCTTCTCCTCTTATTGTGAAAGACCCTGCACCTGGAGCCACCAGCACCCTAGATGCCAAAACCCTACTGCTAAATCCTAAATCTCAAGGAAATGAAGGTGAGGGACCAGAAGTGATTCCTGCACCCTCCCCAGGGAAGAAGAGCCAACAGAACACTTTGGAAGAACACAGGCAAACCAAGACAGTCACAAGCCTGAGCCTGCCATCAGATGGCATAGGTGACTCGAGCCCAGGCTCTGGTAAGAGGACCCCTTCTCGCTCAGTCAAGGCCAGCCCGCGCAGGGGCAGCCGGGTCAGCGAGTTCCTGAAGGAGCTCAATGTGACAGCTGCTGCTGCCCAGGTGGGGCTCACACCTGGAGAGAAGAAGAAACAGCTGGGTGCAGACTCCAAGCTGCAGCTGAAACAGTCCAAGCGGGTGAGGGACGTGGTGTGGGATGACCAGGGCATGACCTGGGAAGTGTATGGTGCTTCCTTGGACCCAGAGTCCCTGGGAGTTGCCATCCAGAACCATTTACAAAGACAAATTAGGGAACATGAGAAGTTAGTTAAAACACAAAGTGGCCAAACTCGAAGATCTATTTCCTCAGATTCTTCTTCAAGTAAGAAGCTTAAAAGGAGACAACAGGGTGTTCTGCAGTCCATGCTGCAAAACTTGCGGCGCCCCAACTGCTGTGTCCGTCCTGCCCCGTCCTCTGTGCTGGACTAAAAGGGACCCGCACTGGTGTATGAGCTGTGGTATTCCTTGTGTCTATTCGTGTCGAAACTTAGAAGTTGGGCTTCTGTTTTGTTTTGGGTTTGCTGTCATTGTTTTCTGAGAGACCTAGTGGTAAAAGCAACTATTAAGTTTAAGAATTAGCTATTATAGATTGTCGGGTTCTCCACAAACAAAATGTCGTTTCACACTGGTAGAATGCAAGAGGTAAAGCAAAGCTTGCAGATAGTCTACATCCCGATTCAGAAGAAATGACTGTCACTGCGGTTTTTTAATACATTATTATTTATACATACATTTTTATTACACAGAAGTCATTTGGTATTTTCACTTCAATCTATCACAGGATGCTATTTCTACTAAAATACCTGCTTTATGTTAAAACTATCAAAAACAACTATTAGCAACACTGGTAATTTCTAGTATTACTGAGGCAAGGATGCTAGTACCACAAAAGGATGCTAGTAGCACAAGAGGATGTTAATCTGCAAAAGTTTAAGTACCTTATAAGACCCTCAATGTGAACTCTTGAAAAAAAAATGTATGCTATTCCTGGGACAAATAAGATGAAATGAAAATATTCAAAAATATGTAAAAAAAAAACTACGAATTGGCTATAGGCATCTAAAGCTAACCCTTTTTATGTGAAGAAGTTCTTGTTAGAAAAGTTAGCTAGATCTCCACCTATGAATACTGCCTATACAAAACATGAACTTATGTGTACATTTTCCTGCATTGAAAGCAAAATGCATCCCTGTGCTTTGGACCACATTAACATGGTATTTTCTTACATTAGAGAAAGTGTCTGTGACTGGAGTTATGGAATTAAGAAGGACAGTAAATTTTGAAATGTAAGTGTGTCCTCTGCTAACAGTTTCTGATTCCTTAAATGTACAACCTAGATTCCTTCAGATTTATCACTTTTAAGAGACATACTGTCATACTTCAGAGATCTTCATAAGATCATAGTTTGAACTTTGGGCAGCCATCTTCCCTCATTGATTTCTACAGAAGGATAGACGTGCACGGGAACATCCTTGACACGCAGAGTTGGGGTGGCGGCGGCAACTTGTACATTGGGGTAGGATGGAGAAGGAGCATGGCAAAGGTTTATGGAAGGCCTTCCTCCCGGCATTCATCATCTAGACAATGCTAATCTGCAGGTTGCAGTTAACACTTCAGACTTAGATGTCAAGAGCAACAGCTAACTGCCTTTGCTGAAATCACTCCTGATAAGCTAGAAAAGAGGACCTGCCATGTACCTTTTTTTCCTTTAAAGACTCAAATATCAGTGGGACAGCCACATATCTATTTTGGCTTTTTTCAGTTTATTTCTATTTCGTAGATTGAAAACATAAAATTATACCTGAGCTCCAAATCCTGAGCTACACTGCATTTGATTTCTACAAGAGAAATATAACTGGGTATGTAACTGCAGAAGTAGGTCACAGTGACAGCACGCTCGGAGGTGGAGCATGATAATTACAGTGTTAAACTTGGAACTTATAATGAATCTCTTAATAAGGCACATTTTCAGCTTCTTACTAATTGGCTTCTATTAAGCATGCTTTATAAAGTAGGAATTACTGTCAAATTACTGATCAAATTGCTATATTAATGATTAGAGATTTAGTATAAAACTCTCCCTTTTAGTGTAAGTACTCATTTGTCTCAGACTCCTTTGTTGGGATTTTATCTGTCTCCTATCTTACACATGCCTTGGCCTTCTGTCACGTGTCAGCACTGTGTATACATGAACACACACCCCCTAACACACACATACACAGGAACAGCAGTCCTCAGGGTTCACTCCAGATGGTGGGCCCTAGGAATCCTTTGCTGTGAAATAGTACAACAGGCTGTTCCTATGGTCAAATTGGAGAGAAAAGACAGTTCTCATCAGCAATAATGTTTGTGGGTTTAAAGTAAACATGCAATACATAGGTTGCTAAGCCTGAGAGAGTTGTAAGCATCTTTCCCAAATTCAGTAAATAAAAACTGCTCATTTTGCTATGGTGCCTCTCAAAGCAAAACCTTAAGAAATATTTGATTAATAAATTTGGTTTTCTTTGGTACCTGAACTAAATTCTCATTTTGTACAAAGACTATAGAGACATCACAAAGTGGTACAAATAGATTTTTGCTTTTTCCTTCTGCATCCTACAGAATTGACAGCTTTTAGAAACATCCGTGGAAATTGCCTCCCCAAATAGATACATTAAGCTGCAAACCTCCTCAGGTGTTTTATATTATGGTACCTACCCATAGACACTCTCATTGCAAAACTGTATTTGAAGTTTTTCCTTTTCATAAGTCTGTGACACATAATCCAATCTGTCTTCTTCATCCAGATAGACACACAATGTCTTTCTTGGCAGACTCTCTCTGCCAAGACAGAGTGATATCACTCTATCACTGTTCTTGCTTTGTCTGTATGACATACAATGGTTTAAGAGTTATATATGTCTATCATTAATTTTTTCTTTAAAAAAAAAACTTTTTATTGATTCTTTGTGATTTTTGCATCATGTACCCCAGTTCCACCCATCTTCCTCTCCTCTTATAACTGCCCTCTACCCTTGCAACCTCCCAACAAAACAAACAAAAAAAAACCCCACACAAACAAAATAAAAAAAAGCATAAAACCATCTCATCATGGAAGCTGTAGTGTGTCACAATGTGTCCCACAGTATATCTCTCTGTATACACATCTTCATCTGCAAATGTTTATTGCAGTGAGTCATTGGTCTGGTTCAAGGTCTCTGGCTTCTGTGACCTCGTCAATATTGACTCCTCACTGGGACTCCTCCTGGTTATCCTGTTGTTGCCCTGTGTCATGGAGATCCTGCAGCTTGGATCAATAGGATTTGCCCTTTTACACACCCCAAGAGTTCATAGATATTACTGAAGCTCAGATCTGGGGCTTTGGGTTGGCCTACCCCAAAATCTACATCATTAATTTCTTTCACATGTCATTTAGACCTTCCTAATACATCTTAGATCTTGAAATATAGATAGTTAATGTTTTATTAAAGAAATAAATTGAACATATTTCTGGCATCAGTAATAAAAGAAATGGAACTCAGGGTCTAGTAGTTCATTCACCATTTACAATTTAAAGATGCTATACCACTTACCACAAAAATACTAGAGTTCTTATTTAAATTGTGATTGTTCTGTTTCTATGATCATGAGACGAACACTCCAGCTTCCATTGTAATTTGTTTATTGTGTATGATTTTATAAGAAAATCTTTTTGATTTGTTTTGTTTTGTTTTATTGGTTTTTGCGAGACAAGGTTTCTCTGTGTAGCGCTGGCTGTCCTAGAACTCACACTGTAAACCAGGTTGGCCTCGAACTCAGAAATTTGCCTGCCTCTGCCTCCCAAGTGCTGGGATTAAAGGCGTGCACCACCACTGCCTGGCTAAGAACATCTTTTTTACTTAGTTGGTTTTGATGCCATGGCCACCTATGTAGCATATAGTAAAATACTGATCAACTTTCATTTTGAACCAATGGCATAAAATGAATATTTTGTTATGTCAAAGTTAATCAGAACCTATGTGTATGTATGCCCAAAGTGAAATAGTTGTAAACTAGATTCATATGTTTTCTACCATGCCAAGTTCAGCTATACTGAATGTAATTTGATCTTGGATACAATTTTTTTATTCTTCAGAGTCATCGAATACACCTTATTTTGAGTATCTGGATTTCCTGTGTTATAGACTGAGTATAAAGCTGAAATTGGACTGAATGTGCATGAGAAGCCTCTACTTAATGCCTGGACTTTGAACCTGAATCCTAAAGCAGAGAGAAAAAGATTAGGAAGTTGTAGTTTATCTGAACCTCAAAGTCTTGGGGTTTAGCTGTTCCCAGTTTGTGCTATTTGTCTCATCATTCTGGCTGTGGCGTATATCCCACACCAAAAACAGAACACAAGGGGATGTCTGCTTTTATTAGTAGGGGATGTATGAAAGTGTGCTTTTAATGTCTCTCTCTTGTACAGCCTTCTTTGTATTCACTGTTACATTTACTGCAAATATGTGAGAAATTATTGTTTCCTTTTACTTGTACAGTGAGAGTGGTTTTTAAAGGTCCCCTTCTAGTATGACATAATTCACCATATCTCCTGTCTGTGTTTTCAGATAAGTATAAAAAAAAGTCTTAGAATAACATCTGTGTATAGGTTTATGTGCTTTTATTGAATGCTGGCCAATTATGGCCATATGTAGACTCAGATTTACTAATTATCTACAAGGCTGCCATGGAGATGAGGCTGTCTCCTCTCTCCTGCTTTGTTCTTAGTGGTGTGTGAAAAATAAGCTTGTGAATTCCCCAGTGTGGTGACACTAAACTCTGAAGTATCTTAAAGTGAGCTGATGACATTGTCACTGCCACAGCTTTGTCTACATGGTCAATCAATGAATCAGAAATCTTGTTTCTGCCCATGTCAGTACCTACTGTATCACAATTATACCTGAACATTTTGTTTTCTGTTAACAATGTCCCTTCATATGTGGGCAGCCTCTTTGGTTGGCTCTCTCCCAATGCAGGTCATCTGCTGTCCCCTGGCAAATGAAACTGATAATCTGGGACTCTCCTGCCATCCTTGGGACCATACTCTCCCCTAACAAAATTCTGCAACTGATGAGTGACTACAAAAGGCATCCCTGCAGACACACAGGCTTGCAAAGAACCACACAATGTTGAACATTTTTGCAAAATAGCTTTGTAAATACTGAAACAGACTTCTTACTTTTTGAACAGAAAAAGTATTCCTTGGCTACAGAAATCAAATTTTTGATTTGTAATAACCAAGAACAGAAAGGAATTGGGGTGGGAATTTTCTGTCTCACAGTGATATATTGCTATGTTTAACAGTGAACACTTACCAGCTCAGCTTTCACTTGCCACAACTGAATAACCTCTCTCAAAGTAACTCCAGTGTATCAGTGTAAATATACAAACAAGAGGCAATCCGGAAAGGACTTATGAGAAAAATCAAGGTGACACCAATCATAAAGGACATCCAAATGGCTGAGGACTCAGAGAGATGACGGTGGGAGCCAGAATGGCACAACAAGATGTTATTTACACATTTGTTTCTTTTAAGACTCAAATATCTCAGAAACCAATTTGAGAATAAAGACTGTTGACTATGAAACTAAAGCCAAGCAATATCGTGCCAAAAAGAGGCAGTTATACCAGCATGTGCATCAGCTGTGATCACACATTGTGTAATTATAGTTTTCTCTGTGAAGATTGATGGTAGCTCAGAGAGCATGTGGGGGCACAGTTTCAGCTTTCTGTTGGAAAGCCTGATTAGATGCTTCACATGAAGAAGCAGCTCAGTGACCATGAGCAAAGATTAGCCCACATCTCTGTATCATGCCAGCCATGACAAAAGAGGAGCCACTGATTCAAACTCAAATCAGCTTTAACCAGAAACTTTGTCCAAAAAAAATAAATAAATAAATTGAATTTATAGAAATTTCTCCTCCTGGCCACTAGCATGCCAAATACAATTCACTTAACTCAACTCATCCTAGTGGATTGCAAGATTTAGCAATGAGAAACAGGCTCCCTAATGGAAACAGTGCTAAACACGAGCCCTTTTTAGCAAAAGAAACTCAAATAATGTCTTATAGAGAATATTCAAGATGATTTCTGAATACTAATTACTCAAGTGTCTTTCTGGGCTCAAGTTTAAAGTTAACTGGCTGCAAAGTATTGAGAATTAAGTCACGTATTTTGCACCTCAGGAAAAAACACTGATGATCAACCAACAAAACAGTAATTATGATGAGATTGTCTCATGATCTATGTGTATGAGAGATAATTAAATGGGAAAGAAGGTTTAACCTCTAGATCACTTCATTGTGGAAATGTCATCTGGGGTTTTCCCCGACTAGGGGGAAAACTATAATTTTGATTGGGGTTGGGTTTTTTGTTGGTTTTGATTTGTTTACATTGCTGCTAGTATTAACTTATGTTGTTGGTTTTTTGTTAATAACATGTCTCATCTTTAGAAAAACTTCTAAATAGTTAAGCAGTTTCTTCTCATTCACATGGCTTTTGATGACACTTTCTGAAGGTGGTGTGTGTATTGGCAGAAGGTGCTGTTCTTCATCCTGAGACAATCTTGATGATTTCAGTGTGGGCTCACAAGCATTCATTTTAGGCCACATCTTGGCATAAGTCATTTTCAATCATGTCTTTAAATGACTCAGATACATTGGGAAATGGCAGTATTCTAGTCCTGCACCTCTGTTCTTAAAAGAGAGGAAAGATTGATATGGCTTGTTATAAGGGTGTCTACAGATACCTGCTATTAAAGATAAGAAAAGTCAACCATGCCTGAAAACTCAAGGAAAATTTTCAAGTAGCAATTACTCAATCTCTATATTTGTTTACCTCTGTTTTACTAATGTGTGATAATACTGTAGCTGGTTGTGGTACGTCCATATATTCTATAAGTGTGTACAGTCTGTGGGTGACTGCTTTGCCACTGTTATGTGTAGTACAAAAATAGCATGACATAGCTCATTTAAAGGCTATTTCCTACCACCAAGTAGGTACATGCAGGAAAGTTAATAAAATCAACAAAATTCGGTATGTCTGTATTCAGTGACAGAATTGATTCTTCCAGTAGAAGGTCAGAAGGAACTGGACATAATTTTGCTTTTTTTTTATATCATAAGAGTTGCCAACAGATTTACCACAAAGGCTGAATGAAGTGGTTGTTACATTGGCATGTTACTAAATATGCCAGAGC